TAGTTTTTAAAGTAAAAGTTATTAAAAGCATTACTTATTTCTAATGAATACTTAAATATACAAAATATATATTTTTACCTTTCATCAAGGTAGATTCTCAGTTTTTTCCAATTTAATGTTCTTGTACAGAAGATAAACTTTGCTATTTCTTTTGGTGAATCATCTAGGATACCCTTGGACATAAAGTAGTTCACTCCCTAAGGCAGAAAGACAAATATACATTAAAAAAATTAGTCTTTATTTATAAACTTTAACAATTAGGCAACAGTGGAACAATAACTGTAAATTCTTTCCAGCATAAATAGACTTTTTATAGCTTTAAAACATGCACAATACAAGCTAGAACTTGAACTGAAATTATTATTTATGGTTGATATTTTACATGCAACGAAAAGGAGGAAATTCAAAGTTAAGACCCTAAAGAAATCTTAGTTCAATTTTCTGGCTCATGTCAGCTAAAACTACTATACAGAAATATAGTGGCGGGGGTGGGGAAGAAACCACTATACAGACTTTAAGCCTTTTAATAAACCCTTCCTCTGTCTAACAGAAAACATGGCTTCTTAAAGCTCAGATACATATTCTAGTACAGTTTGCAAGGAAATAGCTTCTTGAGAAAAAAACAAAAACCCTACTGCCATCGAGTTGATTTCGACTCATAGTGACCCTAAAGGACAGAAGAGAACTGCCCCACAGGGTTTCCAAGGAGCAACTGGCGGATTGGAACTGTCAACTTTGTGGTTAGCAGCCAAGTTCTTAACCACTGTCCCACCAGGGCTCCTTGAGAAAAAAGAGATTCTCCAGGTGAAAGACTAATGTAATTTTATTCCAGAAAGAAAAATAATTAAATTATTTAGCTTAAAGTAGGTGCATCTCTAGGCTGGTTTACGGGCTGTGCCTAGTTCGACTGTAAGCTCTGCTACATTCTGTAAGAAGTTAGCTACAACAAACATGGAGGCAAAACGTAAGACAAAACGACTTCCACGTTTTTCATAGAATTTATCTTTGAATTTCCTTTTCTCTGCATGCAAAGTTTTCCAGAGAAGCATCACCTGGAAGTTTATACCTACTTTAGATTTAAATCGACAACAACAAAACATCAACAACAAAATCAAACGCTGAAACCAATGTTCTCTCATATATACGGAGGTCACATTCAAAGAAATGCCTTATGTGGATTTGAATGTGCAGTCATTGAAATAAAAGACAGGTGTGTTTATTTCAACTAGCAGTTATCCAGATACATGCATTCCCATGAACACTTATGTCTGGATAATAGCACATTGTGTGCGGTTAATTGGTAGAGAAAATGACGTATTATATATATGCGACATACTGTTTTCACACACAAATTCCTTCAGCATTTCTTCACTTTACAGACACTTACATAATACTAAGAAGTATTACACACATTAAGAATTCAAAGAGTTGGAAGAATTTTTATAAAAGACTCCTCAAGATAGCAACTTTCTCATAAAAATTTTATATTAAAAAACTTAAAAAGCAATTTGGTACCATGAGGTAATAGTGCTTTTGAAAGTTTTAATTATCTTTAAACTGTAATTCAAAGATAAGACTTTTTATCTATAACTGATTTTAAGGCCCATCAGTATCATACCCTAATAGCAATGCTATCAAATTCTCATGTGAATTTTATTAGTACAAAAGCAATGCTAAGGCACTGATTTAAAAAAAAGAAAGAAGTATATAAAGAAGAGCAGAGTGTGAAACTTTCTTGTCAACTCAATCTTAAGTCATATTTCAGACTGAATCCTGAATACAAGGGCTAGAAAATGTAACATGATCAAGACCGAAAGCCAACAACTCTGTTTGGAATGAGGATCTCAGCAATCGTCTGAGGGGCGGGAACTTGAGAAATAGAAATGCCTGTTTCCATCCTCACCTCCATTGGTCTGAATACCCGAGAGTTGACTGTATACTTACTTGGATGCCTGTTTAAAAATAACAATATTTCAGAAGTATTTCCAATGCTTGATTTTAATCTAAATGATTTAAAGACGAAGGAATGCCAATAAATTAGTAGTATTTAATAGATCCTTTATTCACACCTACTTATACATAAATATGAAGAGGTGTAAAACTAATTCTAATGTACTTTAAACATGTTTTAAATAAGCTCACTAATATGATCCGTTAAATTATTATAGAATTCGCTAAGATACGTGCCACTTTAATACCATTTGACTCTACTTATTTGTAAATTAACAGTATTTATTTCATGTAAGCATCATAAAAATACACTGTTGGCCATCTCCTTTTTTACGGAATCCTTTGTTAAGAATATCTGACCTGACTTAAGTTCTCCAAAATCAGTCAAATACAGAGGAGTAAATGCATACACAGTCAAACAGTTTTAAGGCCAAAGTCGATAACTGGGAACACAACCTGAAATAAGCCTACTCTGTTGGCTTTCTGGGGAAAGGAGGTATCAGTGTCAAGCCTGGGGTTCCTCTCTGGAGGAAGATTACATCAGAAGGGATATTAAAATGAATGGCACAGGATGATAAATAGAAAAAGGCATGGAACCAGATTATAAATGTCTTCAGTAAGCAAGCTGGCAAACATCCGAATACTTATCTTTTTATATAAGCAACGAAATACAAAAATTACTAGATCGTGGGATCTGTTAAATAACTGCATATTTCTTTAATAAGCAGTATATGTATTTTTGTCTTTTAATCAAGCTTTGAAAGGAAACAGAAAGGTCCCTAGACCACACAGCATATTAGTAATTAATCAGGATGAGAACACTCAGCCGTATGTTCTCTGCAGTGTGTATGTGTATGTCTATGTGTGCATGTCTCCGTGTGTGTGTGTGTGTGTGTGGTATCTCACAGGCAAAAGAAATCCGGAGCATTAATATTAGTCTATATTAATATAAACAAAGCTCCCAGGAAAAGGAATGTTGTCGCTCACTACAGTCTTCATAATTCACTATGTTGTTATTGTTGTGCACTGCTGAGTCAATTTTCGACTTATAGCGACCCCACATGATAGAGTAGAACCGCCCCACAGGATTATTTTAGGCTGTAATCTTTATGGGAGTAGACTTCCAGGTCTTTCTTCCGTGGAGCTACTGAGTGGGTTCAAACTGCCAAACTTTTGGTTAGTAGCTGAGTGCTTAACCATTGCGCCACCAGGGCTCCTTCATAATTCACTTCATAATCCACATTTTATGAGGCATATTGACAAAGTAGAACTTTGGCTTTAAGGCATCTGAAAAGGTGTGTCACTGAGGGAAAAGGAATAGACTTACTGTCTGTAATTCAAGTAAAGATCTTAAACTCTTTAGGGTTGCAGACCCCTTTGAGTGTGATCAAAACTATAGAACTTCTTCCTAGAATAATGCACACACACGTTTTAAAAATATAAATGAAAAGATTAAAGCCCACCTAAGGCCTGCAGGATAGCAGTCCCTACTCTACAGAGTTCAGGCAGATGTTCAGTGGGTGTCCGTCACAGGTAGGCAGCTTACTGCTCTTTAAGGAGGGGCATGCTTGCAACCACAGCTAATGGAGTTGTTCAAAAGCCAGTAGATTATCAAGGGCTTGATTTTTTTTTTTTGGTTACATTTCTAAAACAAACTTACACTTAAAACTTGTTACGAGGTACTCTCATTGCTTAATCTATATAAATTGTAACTCCATTATACAAACGCTACTGTGTTCAACTTTTAGAATTATCTAGATTGTCACCGCTGTAGTGTGGTTCCTCAGGGACTATTTTAAGCGGAGAGAATTCAGACGTTTTTGCCCAAAGACTCTGAGATAAATCGCGATGGTGTTGGTCCTAGGATAGGCTGCGCCACTGCACAAAGGCCGGCTCTTGTCAGCTGAAAGGAAATTAGTAGCCAACATTGATCTTATTTAAAAAAAAAAAAAAAAGCTTCAGAGGAGTGTAACAGAGGGATAAATTAAATTTATAATGTGACAATAGAGTGCTTAGACCTATTGTGTCGATTGCTGTTAGCTGCCGTGGGGTCAGCCCCCGACTCATGCTGACCCAAGTGTTACAGAGTACAACCGCCCCATGGGATTTTCTTGGCTGTGATCTTTACAGAAGCAAGTTGCCAGGCCTGTCTTCTGTGGAGGGGTTTGAACCACCGACCTTTGAGTTAGCGGCCGATTGCAAACCCCTCGCGCCACTCAAGCTCCTGCTTATACACAGTGTTAGGCTTTATGTACCTTTGGAAAATCATAAACTGGTAAATAATACTTAAAAATGCTACAAACCTTAAATTTCTTGGTAATTTGATGTTTCAAAAAGAGTAGCAATTTAACTTAGGATTTAGATGTAAAGATGAACAACCAAAGACTAGTTTGTAAAATAGACATATGTATAACTGCATATATATACACACACACATACATGTATCAGTTTTAAAAGATATTCTAAAAATTGAATCGAAACAGATTAAAAATGTCTACATCTTCAGTTAAAAATGTATTAAGGACACAGTACTATATGTAAGGTACTCAGTGAGAGACACTAAGAAGTATAAAACAATTTTGCAAAAGGAAATTTATAGTCTATTTGGGGAGATGAGATGGGTACACAAGTAACAAATACACACGTGACAAATCAGTGATATAAAGATCTTAGCCACTATGCCACCAGGGTTTCCTAAGGAAGTCTAATAAGGTCTAAATGAAGGGGTATGAAAAAATAAGTGTTTCAGTAGTTCAATGAAAGGGAAAAAATCACTACGGGACAGGACATTTGGAGGTTTTCTGGAAGAGATTAGACTTGAGCACCTACTCTGAAGGAATGGCAGAGGTTTAGAGAGCTCAGAATGAGGGGGAGTACTGGTGAAGAATAGTTCAGTCAATATCGTACTATACAAGCAACAAGCATGATAAGGCAAAAACTTAGGCTATTCTTAAGAAGGGAGAACTATCTAAGATCTGAGAACAAGTCTGGAACCAGACTGTAGGAATAGTGCTGAATTTTAGGGTAAGAAGTTTATTCTCTACCCCATATGCAGCTGGAAGCCTCAGAAGGCTTTTAACATAATAAAGCAATGGCCTGCAATGTGAATTTGACAGTGATATAGAGAGACATAATGCAAGCAAAATTAGACAGGAGGCTACTATAAGTGTTCAGGCTTGAACATGTGGAAAAGCAGTAGTAATGGAAAGAAAAAAATATATCCTAAAAATGAACGCAAAAAATAACC